CTCTCCTCTCCTCTCTTTCTTTCTTTTCCTCATGTTCTGCGTCTTCGTTGAATAGGTCTAGCTAGTTGCAACACACTACCTTGCCCGTTACAGTATTCACCTTTGTTTTTATTATTTTTACAGAAGTTAAAAAAGGATTTTAAACTGTAGATCGAATTTAGCTTAAATATAGTTAAAAACGTGGTAAAAAAGTAAAACTAAAAGTATATTATATTACACAGGTATTATAGATATAAAAGGGCTAAAAAGGAAAATAAGTATATATGTAACAAAATTAAATCTTTAAAAGGTGTACGTTACAGGAGCTACCTTATAAGCTAGCTCCCTTGTACCTTCCCTTAACAAACAAACCAAAGGCTCGATGGTGTAATGGTTTAACACATTGAGTTCCGGACGAAAGGTGGCTGTTCAATTCCAAACCAATGCCCGTTTTTCGTCCCAAGAGCCCCCGGAGCCCCACGCTCCCAACCGCTACCGCTTGACCGCCCCCGGCCCGCCTCCGTTGAGATTTCCCCGCCCCCGGCCCGCCTCCGTTAAGACTTCCCCGCCCCCGGCCCGCCTCCGTTGAGACTTCCCCACAACGACACCCTGGTGCCCGAGAACAGTTATCTCTAGTTCGGACTCAAAGATCCTGGTTCAATTCCAGGTCGAGCTAAATTCTTTTTTTTTGGCCTGGCTGTCAGACATCTTTACTCTTTGTTGCGTTCGAACTTCCAAATCACCCACATCTTAACACCATGTCGTGTTACCATGGTGATTGAGGTACACCACTTTACGTTTACAAATAAGCAGAGCGGTTTGCGAGCAGTTTAACCTTATAAAGTTCTTGCGTGTTTAGTTAAAAATGTATAAAAATGTCGAAGTAATTACATGAAGATTAGGTTGCCTTGCCCGAACAAGATGAAAAAGAGGAGAAACAAGAAAATATTATACATAAGTAAGTTACCTTGCCCCGATCAATGAAGAAGAAGAAGAAGAAAAGAAGAGAAAAAAAAAAGGTGCACATGCTATACATGCTGGGCCATTCCCAGTGTGTGGTCCCCTCCATTAAACGCAACAAATTGCGACTTGAAAAAAACATCTCCCCAAATCTGCAAGTCCCCTGGCGAGGTGCTCGGCTGGATACCTCCAAAACAAGCTGTCGCAACTGTCAGCACATGGCTTGTCCTCAATGCCTCATCATCAAGTCACTTACTATCCTCAGAAACCTGGGCGAAGTTGATATCCTGGCCCTTCACCCTTGCGACATACAAACCGCCGACGTCAACAAACAAATCCGGCAGCTGTGCATCGCAAGGAAACGCCATCCCGCCAATGTGCTCGTCGTTTCGCGCCCCGCTGACCTGGCTGTAGTACCCGTCTGAAACCTCCTTCGAAACAATCATCAGTGTTGTCCCCGTGTCGGCGATGGCTTGCGAAGTCGGCAAGCCCGTCATGGCTTCTTCGTTCCCCACCGCGAAGCCGGAGGTGGCAAACTGCCAGAACCCGTTGGTGGTGTTGACAGGGATCCACGCCATCTCGCCAACGAACTTGGAAGTGTCGATGCGACCAAACTCGTACGCGCCGACTTCGCCGCGGCGGAGATCGGCAGTGAAGAGGGGCTCAGCGAGGGTGGGAAGGACGTTGTCGAAGAAGGTCTTTTGCTGTTGGGGCTGGACGGTGTTGAGCTTGGAATAGGCGAGGCCCAAGAGGCCGTGGCTTCCAACGTCTTCGACGAAGGAGGAAGAGACGTCTGTTGCTAACTCGACGGCTTGGTTCTCGACGACGACACCGCCAATGTCGACAACGTCAATGCCGACGTTGCCTGCTGCGCCAGACTCGTCGCCGTAGGTGATGGAGAAGGAAGCGCCGTCGAGCATCTTGAAGGTGCGGGACTGGCTGGGGTCGAAGAGTTGGTGGCCGCGGGTAAGGTTGTCGGGGAGCTGGGTGTTGAAGACCCAGAGGTCGGCGCTGCCGGTGTCGAAGTCCAGGTTGAGGGTTTGGCCGCCAATCGTCACCGGGGACAGGTACTCGATGTCACCATCCTCGGGGGTAGCCGTGACGATGCCGATGATGCCGCCATCATCTGGTTCAGAATCTTGGGATGGTTGTGGCTGTGGCTGGGGTTCGTGGATTTCTGGTTGCGGATCCTGGTTCTCGGGCTGCTGTCCTGGCTCAGATTCCCATACAATCACGACCGTGTCGCCCTCGCTTTCGACCACCTGCGGGTTGCCGTTGGCACAGCATGGACATGGAAAGCCACCTTGCAGTCCTGCCGGAGGCCCTCCTTGCGGTCCGCCTCGCCCCCCTGGTGCTCCTCCTGGGCCTCCTCCCTGAGGTCCTCCTTGCATTCCCCCTTGCGGGCCCCCCTGCCCGCCTCCATGACCACCGCCCATCTTGCTTTGGGTGTTGTTCAAGCCGTGCTTGGCTGCCTCCTGCGCCCTCATGGCGTCCAGAAGCGCGTGTGGGACAGGCATGCTGTACTTCCTGTATGCCTTGAGCAGCTCCCTTGGTCCATTGTGGCCCCTAAAGTGTGCGTTCCTGGCCCTCTCCACCTTGAATGTCCTCTTCCGTAGTTGGGTCGGCGCTGCCGTCACCCACTGAAGCAGTAGGCCGAGGAGGAGAAGGGAGAAGAGAGATGACTGCATCGTGCCGGTTGGGAATGCCAGGCCGGGAGCTCCTTGCAAGAAAAGAAGAGAAACAAGGGTGGGTCAACCACCATTGACAAGATATTAGAAAGACATTAAGAAACTCCGGCGCCAGCGAAGGAGATGAGAAAGTGTGAAGAGATGAACAGACAGAAGCCAGCACGGTTTGCTGGCGTCAAGATATAATAGAGAGAGGGACGAACAAGAGACGGGAACTGCAACAAGCCGAAAGCGAGAGGCAAAAAGACATGGAACTGCCAATGCCTTGGAATAGCTTAGCTTGCTTCTCTAGCCACAAACGGAGACGAGCTAGACGCCATCTCTGGTTCTCTTTGCTGCGGGAGGCCGTCGATGAGATGAGGCTCGAACCGCCGACATGTTCTTACGCGTCGCACGTCAAAGTTGGATGTCTTGGCAGTCGATTTGCTGTCAGAGGCTTGTTGCCAAAGGGCGGCGGTGGCGGTGCGAATCATGGAATCGGCTCATGGAGTCGATGGTGCGACACGCTGCAAGTGCGTGACCGTTGGAGGAGCGTTGAGTCGGGTCTGGTGGCGTCGACACAAGCTTTTGGTGGTGAACGGGTCGCGCGGGGAAGAGCCAACGCCAGCCAAACAACGCCCCAGCAGAGTCAAGGGCCCTGGCTGGCGCCAAGACTTGAAACTGTCGGCCGCCGTTACGGGGCCCTTTCAGGGACTGTCACGGTAGGCCAATGGCGGTTGCATTGCGCGTCATCTTCGTTCTTTTGACCATTCCGAGGGAGCTTGTCAAGATTTGGGCACAAAAGACATTGGAAGAATGCCCCTGGCTCAATCCAGTCGCTTGCACTCAGTGTGACGGGAGCCGGGCGTAGCAACCGGCGCGCTTGCGATCGGGCAGCGCCGTTGCGCTGGGACAAAGGGGAAAGAAGCTTGAAGGCGCCCGGAAATGCGGGTAGCAAACTCTAGTCAAGCCGACGCACGTCAAATGGCAGGACCAAGGTGCAAGCGCAGTATTCGACATTTGAGCTCAAAATAGCAAATTATCAGGTCGATGGCTGGGCAATTCCCGTCGTCCCTACCCCGCACCCGAGCCTGCGCCCGCGCCCGCGCCCGCGCCGACCAAGCATCCAAAGGGAACACGTGACCCAACGAGTGGGCGCATGGGAGCCGGTTTCCGTTTCACTGGGGGACGGCGCGCCCCCGCTTCACCGTCTCAGCATTTTCTGGATCCAATTCCCACTCAGGCTCCCAAAAAGTTGCGCGATCCACCGCCCACGCAGCGCCCGCCCGGTATCACAAAACGGTGGCAGGACGAAGCCGCCAAAACCTTAGCCCACGTGTTTGGCAATTCGCCTTGTCGCGCTGCGGCTGCGCTTGCGATAACGTGGGTTTTTGGAGCACTTTGGCTGCGATCGCATCGCGAGCGAGCTGAGTGGGCGAGCGAGTGGGGAGCCACCTTTTTCCCTGCCGGGGGACCTCGGACTGACTGGGAGCTGAGGCGTTGGCGCGGCCCACTCTTCGCCTCCTCCGTTTCTGCGCCCTCACACTCGGGCCGACGAGCGTCCACCGACGAGCATCCGATCGATCCATTTCTCGACAGCCCCGGACGCCTCCCCTCCAACGCCAAACGGGCCTGGGCCTCTATCCACACCGCGGCGCCGTCCCGTCGTCGCTGTGTTGCTGGGCGGCTGCCGCTTGTGGGCGAGGCACGCGCCTCCCGCTACCGGCCGTGATGTCGGACGAAGACTACACGACCGCTGGCGGCGCCAACTCATCCAACCACACCCCCGGCAAGCATCGCGGCCCTCGATTCAGCTGGACCCCGGCGTTCGAGGCGACATTCTTCCGCTCCCTCGTCGAATCGACCCATCTGAACCTGCGCGAAGGAAGCACCTTCAAGCAGGAGGCCTGGGACCGCGCCATCCAGGCCCTGATCGAGCAGCATAACGCCTACCCCAATAAGAACCACCTGATAAATAAGAGCGACAATGCGCGCAAGAAGTTCCGTCTATGGCGCGGCTTGAGGGAGAACCCCGAGTTCCACTACGACCGTGCCACGCGCATGGTGACGGCGAGCGAGGATGCGTGGAAGCGGCATATCGAGGTGCGTCTGGAAGGTCGCTATCGCTTGATAAGATCTATTGCTGACCCCCCCTATACAGAAAGAGCCACTGTCTCGATCATTGAAGGGCCGGCCATTCGAACACGAGGAATATTACGAACATCTCTTCCGGGACGTCGTCGGGTCCGGCGGCGCGCCGAAACGCTTGACGAAGCCTCGAAGAAAAGACAATGACATGTCTGTTGGCCTCAGCAACCAGGACGCGCCTGGCACGACGATAATGGATCTGATGGAAGCGAATTATGGGAGCGCCCCACAGACACACATTCCGCCGCCGACGCTGCCTTCTGCGACAGCAACGCCGTCCCTGATAGCCCCCCCTCTGCCGACGCAGCAGCACCCTCGCTCCGGGTCGACTGTAATGCAGCCGCGGGCGTCCATCAGCTCATCCGCTCTGACGCCACCCGAAGATCCATCGCTGCACACGCGGAAGCGCTTTCAGCCGCCCGATAACAACACTCTCGTCAGCAACGCCAATCATCAGGACAAGAGACGACGGACCGCGGCAGCAGCTGCTGCTCACCTCAACTTGCAGCAGCCGGTCAGCAACAATAACCCGCCCCCTACTGTCAGTGCAAGCAGCATCGCCACTGCTGCCAGCACGGCCCCTCAACCGCTGGTTTCCGCCCCGGCGCCGCCGACGTTCCACGCAGATGCCGTAAGCAGACTTCCAGCCCTTCTCGATGGGGGGACCAAGGCCACTAACCCAACGCAGCAGACCAATGCACTCGTCAATCAAGCCGTGGCTCTGGCCGAGGCGCTACGCGGCGCCAAGCTCAGAAACGGGTGGTCAGAGCAGGCGCTTGAGATCTTCTTTCGCGAGTTCAGCGAGGAGGACATGGATCTCCAGCTCAAGATTGCTGAGAAGGTCCTGACCGACGACAACAAGGCCATGGTGTTTTGCAAGATGACGGACCAACTGCGCAAC